CAATTCCAATTAAATGTTGTTAGTTATTCCACTTTTTACATAATTATTTACCAACTGTTCATCACAGTTTCATATATGAGAAAATACAATTGAATTAACTACTTAATTAACGGACTGGATTGGACAATGTCCATAGTTCGAATAATTATGAAATTCTTGAATTTCAAAAATTACATCCGAAAAAATATTTTTTAATTGATTCTTTTACAGCGGATTTAGAAATAGCTCCTTTAATCCATTAATCAAGTGTTAATTGTGAATAATAATAATAAAATTTGCTAAGTAGAAAATTTTGTATTTGTTTTGATTATTATATTCACTGCGGCTTGAGTTGGGTCTTTAAGTTTTACACTGTTTCGCAATTACTATAATTCATCTGTGAATATCCGGATTAAACAATTCAATTAATCATTAATTTTCAATCATCACCTACGCTCAAAACTCAAATGATTGACTTTCTTTTGCTAACAATTCCAAACTTTTATGAAAATTAAAATTATCTATAATGAATACAATATTAAAAAGAATTTATAAATCATTACAATATTTAAATCTTTGAAATAATTTGATGAGTTAAATTGAAGGATAAATAAATTCTTTAATTTCATTTGTTTTATAAATATAATGTTGATTCAATAATATTTGACAAACTATGACATGTGTCTTATATTTAATAATCGCTTTAGTATCACACAAGGGATATCCATCTCCTTATTTAACTAAAGTTAAAAAAAAAATTATGAAAAGAAAAAGAAATCTAATACAAGGGAATCACTATCTCCTTGTTTAACTAAGGTAAAAAAAAAAAAAAGATTTAAAATAAGTCTAAAGTAGTGGCCTGCATTAGCCCCAATTTCATAACCCGGCCCGGCCCGCATTAATATATTGAAAACCCGGCCCAGATTTTTTTAATATAATATAGTAGGGATGTTAAATTGCTTCAACAAAGCATATTTAAACTGAATTTAAGCACAAGCTTTTTTCAATAAGCTTTAATGTGCTTTTAAACGTGCTTCGAGCTTGCTTAACACTTTTGTTAGTATGAGCTTAAAAAAGTATATATATAGCTCGTTTGATCAAAATAGCTCTAGTTTCACTCAAAAGAAATTTCAGAATATATTCTGATTACGATTTATTATATAATAAAATAGATAAGCGGGCTTACATTAGCCCGCTTAAGTAAATCTAGTCTAACTATGTAATACACCTGTGTTTAACTAATATAGTAAGTTCAATCGCTCAGAAGCCTATTTTCTCAAAAAAGCTTAACTTGCTCTAAGCTTAAAGCTGTATTGAGCCGAACTTAAGCTGAACTGGTTTAGCAAATTAACATCCCTATAATATAGTAGGTTTTAAGTAAATAAGTTATTTTTCTTTGTAATTTTAATAAATAAAATTTAAACATAGCTATTATGTAAGTTGGTTGCGCAATAATTAGTGACACGATCCCGGTCCAAAATTTAAAGAAAATTAAATCTGTTTTTAATAAATGATTTGTTTTTAAATATAAAAAAAAATTATTCCAAATAAACAATTTATAATTTTATTTAAAATTGATATTCAATTTATTTAGTTTATAAAAACACAAAAAAGAAATTGCAGAAACTACAATTTTCCAAAATTGTTTAATTTCTGCCTAGTCTAATAGGAAATTTGGCTAGAATTAAGAAATTATAAAATCCGGGTTTTAAATTTTGAACCCGGATCCAGCCCGTTGCAGGTCTCTAGTCTAAAGGCTTTTTAGAGAAACAATTTAAAGAGAAAAACTAAAAAAAAATTTCATAGGGTACATATAGTTTTTTTTGAGAAGTATTTAAAAAGGTTTTTTTTTTAGCAGAAAGATCATTCAATAAAGTATGGGTCTAGAATATTGGATTTGATTTTTTATTAATAATAAAAATAGAAGTATTATTTTATCCTATCGCCAACTCTGTATTGCAAATATGATGTAATATTAAATTGAATATTTTGAAAATCCAAATTTATTTATTTTTTAATCATGAGTCATTTCTTATGAACAAATAAACTAAATTAAGTAATACATCATAGTAAAAATTAAATATTATTAAATAATGAGTGGTAATATAAATCTTTAACTTTCTTATACTGTATATAATACTTTCCTCGTTACAGGCAAGGAAAAACCAGTTAGTTAGTTGAGTCACTCCTAACTGGCTGGTTTAGTTTAGATTAGAATCTCCTCTTTATTTCCTTGTATATACTGTGTTTATTAAGACAGATGGAAAATTTTGACAAGCAGCAAGAAGATAAAACAGAAATAGTAAATAATTAAAGCTTTATTCCACGGAAATGAAAACGATAAAAAGACAAGAAAGATAATGAGGTATGTGTTATAAATGGATTTTAATTTTAAGATATTTATAATTAATTATATTACCATTTTTTTTCAACACCAAAACCATAGACATCACAGATATTAAGAAGAACACTTATGGGAGTTAGCAAGAGAAAGATTAATCTTAAATGCAACTAAGAACAAAAAAAAAAAAAGAAATTGAGGTTAATATCAAGAGATATCCATAACCGGAGGCAGAAACCAAAGATAACTTCTATTTAGATGCAAATGGAATTTGAAGACAAAAGGAAATGTTGATGTTATGTAGGATAAAATGGATATCCGTAGTAACCAAATGGATGATTCTATAATTAGAAATCAAGTGAATAACTATCATTTAGATATGGCTGAGAATAACAATGAAATAATGAAATAGGAAAGAAGTGGTGAATAAAATAGGCGTGTGAGAAAATTTGATAAGTGATGAGTAGCGTCAATCACATAAAAAATGTAAATAGAAACCATCAAAGTAAATAGATTACGCGTAAATACAACTGCATTCCAGTTAAGAAAAACATTTGTAAAATATAAAAGTAGATAATAATAAAGAATATAGAGGTAAACTTAACTGCATTCAATAACCAAAAAAGTTACATGAAATTTATAGCTATTAAGCTTGATATTCACAATAAAAACAGTAAATATTGGTGTACCATAAATTTCAATGAAGGCAGTTATAAGGACATTTCTATAAATATTATATCTACAGGGAATGTGAATATAAGCAATCATACAGCCTGGTATAATGGAGATAATATCAAGGGAGGCATTAGCAAAATGTGAAATAATAGCTCGAAAAATTATAGTAGTAAATTGTTTATATTTACCAGTATAATGAAAGTAAGTTTTTTAAACAATTATCGAATTTTTTTAACAATAATATTTTTTTTATTAATTTAAACAAATAAATTTTAAACAAAAGTATATAAATCAAGTTTATATTATAAAGCTTTTTTGTTGCTCAGAATTTTATTAATTTTAAAACTTTAAAGCTTCTTAGAATAAAAATACGATAAAAATTTAAATGACTTTCTGCTAAGATATTCTTCTTTAATTTATACAAGTCACCTGCACACATCTCATTTTTTGCTCATCTTATATAGAATATTTTATCATTCAAAATTTACTTCTTCATAAGTTTATTATTATCAATATACAAGAAAGAAAAAGAATCTTTCTAATAATAATAGTAATTATTTCTCCTGAAAACACAGTCTTCTTGTGGCAGCTTTATGAGCAATAAATCTTTTAAAATGGAATTAAGCCGACTGAGTAAAGATTATTGATTTATAAAATGTTATCAGATATGTTAAGAAAAACTTGAAAAGAAATAAAAAAGAAATATTTATGTATTATAGTGATACTTGAGTGAATAAAAGATTGCCCAAAGCGTTGAAGTTTAAAAATTACATATCATAAAATAATAGGGACAAATTTTACCAACCAAGAAAAAATTTTTTGTATCACTACTTTTACAATAGAAACTGTTAACTTTAATACAATCAATGCATATATTTCATTATAAAAAATAAATATTATTGATATTTGTGGTTATTAGTAAACTTTTTTTTATTTAATATAAATAGAGAATAAAAACCATTCTAAACTCTTATTCTGAATCGTTAAAGATTCTCTATTGATATTAAAAATATCTAATAAGAATCATTATTCATATATACCTAAATTTTGTGGTAAAAATTTTTAAAAATATTATCATTGAATACGATGCTATAATGTAATCTAATCTCAGACATGATCGGGAAATTGTAATAATGAGATGAATAATAAATTTCGTAATACTGTAATTAATCTATTTTATTGTAAATAAAATTAATTAGTTTACAAATTTAATTATATAATTATTAAATATAATCGTTACTACTATAATTGTTAAATTTACTAGAATTAAAGAAACTCAAGATGTATTGTAGTTAACGAAAATAAATAACAAAAAAAGAATTTACAATTACTTTTGTTTTGATTTTTTTAATGCTTTTATTTAAAATATTAAATAGAAAAGAAGTAATTTACAGAATATTGAATTAAGCAATAATTTAATTATAATAGAAAGAATTTTTACCATTATCATTATTTCCAGCAAATACAATAAAATAATGATATACTATTATGAAACAATTGATATAGACCATTATGAGGATCATAAAATATTAAACCTAATAAAAAATTTTATCAACAAAAATATAATACTAAATTTTTGAGCTTTGCAGATTTTATAATTGCACTCAATGGCCTACTTTTATATAAAGCACCTGATTATTTATTGCCACAGGTCCAATATTTGACGAATTTATTATCTTAGATGAATTTATGTACTCATTTGTATGCATATTATTAAAAACATATGAAATATTATTTGCTTTTGTCTTTTATTTGAATCAATATAACCTTCAATCAATGCATTTGTAACATTTGAGGATCTAATATTTCAATAAGAAGATCTATAGAATAGATCAGGCGCAGATGTACCATATGTTACACAATTCATAATTATTTATATAGCGGTAATCTAAACGTTACTCATTTTTTTTAGTTATATAGATACCGTAATAGGTAAAGTTTGCCTCCGAAAATAAAATTTATCATGTTTTTTAAAAAAAAATCTTTATCTATTGAAAGTTTTAGTCGCCCAACGTGGGGATCGAACCCACAGCCTTGAGATTAAGGGTCTCACGCTCTACCAATTGAGCTAGCCAGGCTTCTTGTTTTTTAAAAAAAAGTTTTGAAAATGAAAAAAAAGGAGATAAATTACATCTGTCATTTAATAAATATACTAATATGGAAGATATAAAGAGAATAGAATTCATTAAAGTTTTTTCAAATTTTAAGTTTCATATTTGATTAAAAGTGAAAGGACTATTATTTTATCTTTCTTGTTTTTCATATAACCGAATATGATTATGATTAGACTATAGATATGCTAATTATGAATAGCTAGCTATCTTAATAAACTATTATTCTATAAGATGTTTAGTATAAAATTTTATTTTAAAACAAAAGAAATTTATTTTGAATGCTCTGAATTATAAAAAAAGAATATACTCATGAAATAATTTTCCTTAAAAGAAAAAATTGGGATGAACCGATCTTATGGTTCACCTTCAGAATGATGGCATTCCATCAAGTTGGTAGGCTTTGGAAGCATCTAAATTCAATAAATAGTTTGCCTCATTTTTAATTACAAAAATAAAATTTATCATGCTTTTTTTAAAAAAATCTTTATCTACGGAAAGTTTAACGTGATCATAGTTACACATAATATGAAAATGATCTACACGTTACATACACAGTGACAGATGTAATTAACGAAAATAAGCTTTGTTTTATTTTTATAATTATATTTTAGCAAAAGAAAGGTCCAAATAATTTTTTGTTTGATAAATTTGATTTTTTTTTAAAAAAAAAAAAAATAATCATTTATTAGATTTATAAAAAATAATAATAATAGAAAATTACTAAACATCGCCTGGGCGATCATCGCCTTTACCAGCACATTTTGGCGGAGTTACATTCGTATTCTTAATCCTGCCCAAGTTCCATCCTAATGCTGGTAAAGGCGATGATCGCCCAGGCGATGTTCATTTATCACAAATTTTGAAATTCATTATAATCTACTGTACAGTACATCTATGAACGTACAATAATTTTAAAAAAAAGTTTAAGAAATTAAATATAAAAATCGCGACCGATGTCCGAACGACATATGGAATATGTAGCTGAAGATGTATTATATGATCTTGTTGATGAAATAGAACTTTGGGATTGGATGTTATCACAAAAGAAGAAAGTTATACCAAAATATAAATATTTATAATGTATTTAATAAAATTACCTCACAAACAATCCTTTTATTTAAGATTAAAAAAAGCTTTCAATGCAAATAATTTTCAGCTTTGTTATAACTTGCACGAATACTTTTCCGAATGCTCCTTCTTGAAAATCATTAAAATATTCATATTCGTAATATTTAATATATTCTTTATTGATAGCTTCTTCAATCCAATTCATTCATCAAGTATTTTCAAAATTTTGCATATCATTATAATTAGATATGGTGAATGAATAAAATTATTTGTCTGCAAATACCAAAAAAAAAAGAAAATATTTTATAGTTGCCGTTAAAGTTGTGCAAAATAGAACTTTCTGAGATTTTTGATGTGAATGAAATTACCTTGCAATAAATCTCAACATGATAAACTTTTCCAAAATTATCATCGCCGATTTTTTCAATATTACAAAAATGTTTCATTTTAATCAGACTTGGAATATTGTAAGAAAAAAAATGAACCACAACCCATGTGATTTAGTTAATCACGCCCAAATATTATCATAAGCAAATTAAAATACTACAAAAAGAATATTTGCTGTATTTAAATACAGAAAAAAAAGATTATTTTTATTAATATTCTAATGAATTTTTTATTTAGAAACTTTTATTTTTTATCGTGAAATACAAGTGTACTAAAAAATATTTTAAATACTAAGTTCAGATAGTTCATATAAATTCTACTTATATATGAATCTATAAATAAAAAAAATAATACTTATATTAAAAGTAAGCATATTCTTGGATAACCACACTCTTGATCCAAATAATCCATTGAATTTCAATTCACGCTCTTGTAGAGTTAACCGCTGAATACAAAGTAAAAAAATTAGATATTATTTTAGGTTTTGTTTTATTTTCACTTTTATTTTTGTTTGTTACATAAATTTTTTATTGTTTTTAAAAGCACAACAGTTTAAATGTTTCAACAAAAAAAATCAGTAAAAAAATTAACTAATTTTACAAGTATTTAAATAATTTGAATTACGTAAATTACTTATTATTTTTAAGTTCTTTTAACTTATTTTGAGCAACTTGATCTCCTTGTTTAGCAGATTGTTCATACCAATAAATTGCTTGATTTATATCTTTTTCGATTCCTTCTCCATTTTCATACATTTTTGCAAGATAATATTGAGCTACCTTCTCTCCTAAATTTGCAGCTTTTTGATATAATTCAACCGTTTTTTTCTTATCAACACTGGTTCCAATTCCGTTACTATAACAATATCCTAACATTGTTATTCCACTTGAATATTCTCCTTCAGCTGATTTTTTAATTAATTCAAAAGCTTTTTGGTAATCCTTATTAACACCATTTCCTTTTCTATAAAAATTGCTAAGATTACACATGGCAATTAAATGTCCATTATCTGCAGCTTTTTCATAATAATGAGCAGCTATTTTTAAATCTTTTTTAATACCTATTCCAACTTCATAACACCGACCTACTTTATATTGTCCTACTGCATAATTTTTATTGGCTATTTTTTCAAAATATTCAAAAGCCAATTTTTCATTTTTTTTGGTTCCATGTCCGGATTCATAACAATTTCCAACAAAAAGTTGTGTTAATATATGATCCTGCTCTGATATATTAACAAATAAACTAAATGCTTGCTTAAAATTTTGAATTGTTCCAATTCCAAAACAATTAAAATATCCAAGTAAAAAAATGTAATCTGAATTATTTTGATTATTTAATACTAGCCAAATAAAAATTTCTCGTGAATTTATATTATGATTGTTAAGATAACCAAGAACATTCCATTCTATTCCTTTATTATACTCCTTAAAAATGAGATCAACTATTTCATTAACTATTATGCTCAAATTCTTATGGATACTTTCACTATGTTTAACTTTCTTTGGGATCTCTCTCTCTTTCTCTTTTTCTTTCTCTCTCTCTCTTTTCTTAGATGAAATATTCTTATTTGGCGGAATAAATATTTCTAATCTTTTTACAACTTCATGCATAGATGGTCGATTATTTGGTTCACCATCCCAACATTCTAATAATTGAAAACATGTATTTAATTAAATAAACTTTTGATATTAAAAACCAACAATATATATTTACCAGTATAAAGATCAGCATAATCATCAGGTGTATCGGGAATAATTGTTTCCCTCCGACCTTGTGAAATTTTATACATTAAACTTAAATCATTTGCATAACCTTTAAATGGTGGGATTCCACTTGATATTTCCCATAACAATACGCCAATACTGTATACATCACGCTTCTCTTTCAATTTTATTGAATTATTGCTATCCATTAAACTTTTTGGATCGATATAAGGAACCATACCAAATAATTTTGATTTGGAATCAGATGCTTCTTCAATCCTTTTTGATAGGCCAAAGTCCGCCAATTTGATGACATCTTGGTGAACCAACACATTACAAGAATGCTATATAATAAAAATGATGAATATAAAATAAATTTTACATTATTGACTTTATTAATATATACAGTATAATATTTAAGATAAAATTACCAAGTCACGATGTACAATCTTTTTATCATGTAAACATGATACAGCACAAGCCAACTGATACGCCAAGTTGTATTTGTTATCCCAAGTAAGTCTATTGAAATTTTCCTTTAAATAGTCTCGAAGAGTACCACCGTCTGCATATTCCATTACTAGCAAATAATTTATTCTGTCAATTTTATTATCTAAATATAAAATATATATATATATATAATATTATTTATTAGTTTTTTTCAAAAATAAATAAATAAATAAATAATACAAATTGATTGTTAATATTTTGTCAATACCTGACCCAGATTTTGTAATTCCATAAAAGCTAATAATATTACTATGAAAATCTACATCTCTTTGAAGCATAATCTAAGTTACAGTACAAACGAAAAAAAATTAAAAAAATAAAAATCGAGTATTAATTAATAAATATTTTATAATGTGGAAAAACTATGTAACTTTATTTACCTCACGAACAACCCCTTTTACAGCGGCGGAGTTAAGATTAAAAAAAGATTTCAATGCAAAATAATTTTCAGCTTTGTTATAACTTGCACGGAATACTTTTCCAAATGCTCCTGAACCAATTTCTTGAAAATTGTTAAAATGTTCATATTCGTAATATTTAATTTCTTTTTTATTGATAGCTTCTTCAATCCAATTAATCCCTTCATCTGCATTTTCGATATTTTGCATTTCGTTATTATTAAACATGGCAGATGAATAAAAATTATTTTGACGGCAAAATGTCATAAAATAAATGTTTTATAGTTACCGTTAAAGTGGTACAAGTTGTTAAAAATGGAAAAGTTAATTTTTTTAAAATACAATAGAAAAAAGCATGATCGACCTTAACCAATCTATATACTAAAAAAATTCATGCCGATCTGTAGAGGTTTAGATTACCTGTATAAATAATTTTGAATTGTGTTATCTTCTTGCTCTTAGCTTATTTAAGTTTAGTTAAGAAAATAATTATCATTTCGTTAGCTGGATGACGGGTCTTACATATGTTACCTTGGCAATTTCATGATCGGCAGATCCCGGGTTGATGTATAAATAAATATTTTTTTTTTCTATTTTCTTTTTCAAAAATTTTCTTTTCAATACATATTAATATATCCCGCTGCAAAGCAGCGGGCTACGGCTAGTCTATATAATAAAAAAAAAAAATTACTACAATATTAACAGATATAAAAATAAAAATAATTTAAGCAGCCTTCAAAATTGAACTTTCTGAGATTTTTAATATAAATGAAATTACCTAATTACCTCGCAATAAATCTCGAAGAGATAACATTGCAAGTTCATTAGGCTCGTGAATGTTTGCAACAGACCAATCATATGTTGCAAATCCTGAATATGATTACACTGAACGAAA